CAACTAATGTCATGCCAGGGGCAGAGCAATGCGTTTGGAATAAGTGCTCAGTATACACAAATACACTTTGGGCGACCTTCCACGCAAGCCGCCGTAAGTGGCGCTACAGTTGGGGGGCAGCTAGAGTACCTATATATAGAGAGTAGCGACAACTTGCGCATTGACGCCATTTTGTTTCACTCGCCCGGTCTACCGCGCGCGCGCAGTGCATGTATAAACTTTGAAGTGCATAATATACTGTGTTGTGTCGGCCACATTTCAAACACAACTGTGCGAGCCAGAAAGCAACTCGCGCTATTGTTTGTATTGTATCTCAACACCCCCCCCCCCCCCCCCCCCCCGTACATGGAAAAGTGGGAGGGGGCTGAATGTCCATATACAAGCTAACCTAGCTTGCATCCCCCAAACCAAAAGTTTTGCTGCTCATAAGAGGGGTAGGGGGGGGGGGGGGGGGGGGTTAATCAGCATGCAACCATAACCCACATCATAAAATAAAGACATCACTGGCAAAAACAATCCGACCCATCCCCCCTCCCTTTCCATAGACAATGCCCAACTCACTCATAAAAATGAGAATTTTTTTTTTTTTTAATCCATGCACATCAATACCTTTACACACATTATAAACATATCCTCTCATACATCTGTTTACTCACAATTCCAGACACAGAAGTATACCACCCCCCCCCTCCCCTCGACACACACACACACACACAGCTCCGAGTATAAATTTCACACAAAGTAACTTTGAAATTGGGCAATTCTTTTGTTTGTTGCTTTTTTTTTTCAATTTATTTCATGTCATAATACATATACATGTTCCTTCTCGAAAAGACATCCTTTTCAACAATACATAATATATCTATATATAGGTACTCTAGGGGCAGCTGGGGGGCTTCTGGATAGCACCTGAATGGGAAAGTTGAATGAGCGAGAGCTCGTTCGTACTTAGGCCCGCATCTACTGGCGGTGTGGTGAGAGTGCCTCCGTACCGTAAGATCGAACTCACAACTCTGCTCCAGCTAGCTAAAATTCCTTGAATTATTTATATTCTAACTCTAAATCATTCCGTCTCTCACTCTCTTCAATTCAATAAAATCATCTGCATGTTAACATACACGATAATGAATATGTGGGACACCGTTACAACGGCGTCTCCCAAACTTCGATTGCCGAAAACGCACGCAAAACTCGCCAATGACGGACATCATCTACCCATTCATCCATCGTAAATGAAATAAATTTAGACAAAATGAAGTTGAAATGTCCGAAAGCGGCAAGGAATAATAAGTGGTTTGTCTGTGAGAAAGCAATGATCGTTGCATGCAAGATGAAAGCGCAAGCTGATAGAAGCCCCCCAGCGTGTAATGATAAACGTAGAGGGCTCACATCCATGAAAATTCGCCCGTATCGGTGTATAGATCGCAGAGTAGCACTATTCACGAAGAGTTGAACATGCAATAATCAGAAAGTCAAAGCCTCGGGGAAATAACGATTTCGCAATACTTTTCGAAGGAAGTTTAAACTTCCTTTAAATGAAATAAAGTGCTGATGATACTTTGTCAATTTATTCGGTTCAAAGAAACTGAATATGTGAGCAATGCCTTTGAAACTTGTGCTCGGTAGAGACAACAGAGTAGCAATATTCATATTTAGATTTACATGATAACCCCTGCATCAACATTATGCAATTATTTTATACTCCAAGTTCTTGAAACAATTCTTGTTCCCCCCCCCCCCCCCCTTGAGAATTTTTTTCTTTTTCTCAGGGCTATCACGTGCAAAAGTGACATAGGCTATAAAAGCTTATAGGGGAAAAACAGTGATTGCACAATATTTTTCAAAGGAAGTTAAACAAAGTTGAATTTTGTTGAACGGGTGTTAAAAACAGACTTTACGAATTAGCCACACACCGGAATGGCTTATCGCGTGTGGGATATAGATATGATCTTTTGACATTAAATCCTGTTTAGTATGTTGGCCTTGCAGTTAAACATGACAAAACAGTGATCATTAAAGTTCGTTAGCCGCTATTACAGAATTGCATTATTCACAATGTATAATATTAAAAGATATAGTCCTATGTGTATATGCCTTGGTTCGTGTACATCGTTAATGATGCATGCTAGTTTTTGAATGATGAAAATATCAGATGAATTACAAGTCTGTAAAATATATGTATTTATATGCCATTATCCAATTGAAGATATTGTGTGACATTTAATGACAGAGATCTTTATTAAGCTTTAAGCAAGTCCCAAAATTAATTGTACATGTATAGTTATAGGAATGAAATGAAGCCGTATGCTTGAGTCTGATTGTACATGTTTGTTTGTGAATGATATATTTTATCAACCTGTATAAGGACCACGCGAGGGTGACAATGATAGCCGTTTGTAAAAATATAGATAGGGGTCTTTCTATAAAGATGGAATCAGATTTCACAGTACGTTAATTAATGTTATTAAGAGTGTATTTTAACATGCAATATCTCTGTAATATTTGAAGCTCATATTTTGAATGTAGTATCGCGACATACATGGAGCGGAATAGTCTGTAGTGTTTGATACACGTTCAAGTGGACCGATCGCCAAAAGGTATTTTGTTTTGTATCTTCTAAGTTCCATGTTAGTTACTCACTTTCGTTATATATATGTATTGAATGTAGATCTTGTTGAAACTTTCTTTCTTTCTCATTTTAACTTTACACTATCTCTCTCTCCCTCTTCCATCGCCTTCTCCTCCCCCTCTCTCTCTCCCTCTCTCTCTCTTTCTCTTATGCGGTCACCGCCCTCTCTCTTTCTCTCTACCTCTATTTTCTCTTTTTCATTCTCTCTTCTTCGTCATCCAGTGTGCAGAATGAAATTCCTAGGATGACTTATCTTATAATGAACTGATTTGAACTATGTTATGCTTTCAAATTGTTCAGATTAATGCTTATTTGTGTCACCTCAAATGCGATTTTACTGCTATTTTATTGTGAATCGATATGCCATTAAGCTTTCGAGCTGCTATATATCGTTTTAAATGAACCATTTTCAATTCAATTCAATATTATATTCAAAATATAAGTTTCAAATATTACTTCTGAAAAGAGATTTTGTAAGATAATTTTGTTTCAGGTTGATTTTGTACATTCTAGCTGTGAGGTGATTGATACACTTCACGATCTGTTATGCCTGTATTAAATTACAATCTGACGGACACGAGACTTGTATTGAAAGGTTTACGGGGGAGAGCTAAGAGGCGTTAATTTGGACTGGATTTATTGGACAAAAACAATTGCCAACATTGAGTGTTAGCTGAGAGCCAGAAGGACGTTAACTCAGTCACACCAACACGACCTAGAGTTTATTGCACAGCGCCATCTCATGGTCAACCGGTCAACAGTGCGTAACCCGATACCTCTATGTAATTTCCGCTTCACAGACAGAGGCCTCGATTGGAAAACCAACAGCGCATCGAGTAAGAGGACTTTACTACTACAGCTGACCTGAGATGGCGCTAGATACTCCTAGTATCAGGGGGGTTCAACTCCGCTTCTGCATCCGTCTAGCCATGGGGAAATTTTGGAGGGTCAAAAGTGCACATTGCTTCCAGTTATCGTGTATTAGCCTATGAAGACGACAAATGTTTAGTGCACCAGTGAAATGGGGATTTTGGATTGCGCGCAGCGCGTAAAATATGTAAATTAAAATTTGGAATATTCATGAGCTCATTTTCACTTATTAGCATATTATCGTAATAAAAAAAAGACAATGCGCATGCGTTACTCTCGACAGAAAATTGGGCCGAATAAATGTAGAACAAAGGTCAGAGTCGGGGAGGTGGGGTGGGGGGGGGGGGCGGGGTAATAACTTTCAAATGGTTGTGACTTAAGGCCACAAACTTCACTGTCACCAGAATGGAAAGTACATTGACAAAAATTAAGTTCAGTTAAAAAGCAAAAATGATGGCCCCATTTCACCGTGGTACCTTAATTCATTTTTTACCTCTTTTTTGTGTGTTTTATTTAGTTCGTTTATTTACTTAAATGATATTTTCATATTTCTAGTGTCCAAATAATGAATCTTTCTCGCCTCGCCTTCAATGATCTTTCATATTGTGCCCCATCCCCAATGAAATTTCAATTTTGCCTCGTTCTTTTCATTCTTGCGTTCGTCGCCACTGATTTGTTTAATAATTTGCCACCCCCGCCCCCCCCCCCCCCCTACAGTAACATTTTCAATACAGGACCTCTTCCAATATTGAAATTTCACTAGGCTCTATTACCCTCACTCCTCCATCCCCACCACCATTACCTATGCTGTCATTTTGGCATTGACTTATTCTTTATTTACCCCCCCCCACCCCATCTCTATTGTAAACCATTTTTTATATTGCATTTATGCTTAAGTTTCGCCCACTCTCTTATTACATTCCCCCTTCTCTCTCTCATTAGAAAAGATGATTATAATCACCAGCATCATCACATAACTTCCAAAAAATAAGAAAATGATAGGAAAAGAATTAAGCAGTATTAACTAATTTTATTAACATTTATGAACATGAATTTTTCTATAATGATCTTTTAAAATACAACCTGAACTAAAGAAAGGTAACACATGAACGGGGGAGGGGTGGCTGTCGTCTCTTGAACTTAAAATTGTTCAGATGTATAATTCTACTATAGATTTAGAAAATTAGATATATTAAAATAAAATCCATATGATTTATTCAATTATCAACATGTAAAGCATGGGTATATATTGTCAAACTTGCTTTAGTGACCACCTGTCTACAAAGACCACATTTGTTTTGTTTCCCTTGAAAATGGTTTCTCATTGAAACATGTACTAAACGAGCCTGTCTACATAGACCACTTTTTGTGTTTCCCTTGGGCGGTTGGTACGAGTACTTTTTCTTTTACATTGGACATTTTTGTTCATTGTCATCATTATTACTATCATTATTTTTATCCTCTAATTATTACTAATACTATTAGAGTACTATTATTGTACTATTCCTACATCATTTTATTTCCCCCACCTTGAATTTAATATCCAGTTCAGCATCCCTAATAAATTGGTCAGAATTTGAATTCAGATTAAATATCAAAAAGCTACCTGTATCTTACATGTACACACATTAAAACAACAAATAATTTTATTCAAAGGGCTATACAGCTTATCACGAAGATGAACTAGTGAAGGGGTGTGAGGAAGACAGATGATATTTTTTTAATGAGATAAGGGCATTAGATGCCTCAGGAGTAGTCCCTTGCAGTTCGACCTGGCAGGACTGTCGGCATACATTTGCTGGAAGCCAGTTCCATTATTAAACTTTGGGACGGAGCGTTGGGCAAATACAAACGGATCTATGTCGCTTCTGGCTTGGTTCTCCCATGTTTGTGATATGTGAAGGAAAATAGGGCTTTCAAGGGAAAGGCAGAGAGACCATTGACTACCTTGTGCACAATTCCTAGTCTACATGTACATGCAGAGTGCCTTGTAGATAAGGTATGCCACTAAAATGTGCTGATCATCTCAGTCACACTGCTGGTTTTCTTGTATTTTCCATTGTGATGTAGCGTGCTGATGTAGAGATCTCAAGAGTTCTCAAGATGAGAGTAGATAGAAAGAAGCCTGGGTATCGAACCTTCTGCATGGGACAACCTGCATAATACAAACAAAAAGAGAGAAAGCAAATGAGATTAAAACTAGCTGCACTACATTAGATTTTTTTGTTTAATAGTACCTTCCCACTTTTAGGTCTTACATTTTAGTTTTATTACAAAATGATAGACTTATGTCTAGTCTATCTGATAGGGCCTTTTCTGAAGAGTAGAGTAAAGGTTTATATTCATTTCCAATTATTGAACAAGTAATTTTAAAATTGTTTTTCTTATAATATTATTATTATTTGTGAAACATTTGCTACATACAACAGGCAGTACATGTAGAGGTAGAAGTCTATTGAATAATTTTAAGTTGTTTATAAACATAGGAGTATCTACTGTTCAGTTGTCTGATTTTGTGAGAAAAATTTTGATAGATATGTAATATTGAAGAAGAAAAAAATCCCTTTGAGTACGTATTGTAATATCATGCTGAGGGAATAAAATGATTTGTTTATTAAGCAACACCGTAGTTTGTCACCTAAATAAAGCTAGAAAATAAATGAGAATTACAAGATATAATGCAACATTATAATTAAGATGGTAATTGGTGATTAGTCCAAGATGAGTGCGATGTTGGCATGGGCTTAGCCTTAGATTATACAGCCTGAATATTTTCGAACTTTATACAAACATACCTTGCCAGAGTTCAACTTAGGTGTCCTGTTCCTGAGATCTACACCATAACATATGATGATCAGGTACTGGTAGTCTCTGTTGCACATCTGTGGTTATTATCTGCTTTTTGGTTGCATAGGATCTACAATTAAAAGAAACAGAAACTTAGTAAGGTTCGTGCAAGTAATAGTATCAAATGCTTGCATTAGTTATCAGTTTATAACTTGGTTCATGTCCTTTAGACTAGAGTTAGAAATACCCATGCCATACCAAATAAAAAGGGGGTAGCAAATAGTCCTAAAACTTTACTGTAAACAAGGTAAATATTCGGACATTAGTAATACGTAAATAATATAAACCTATTTTCTCTCTAAACATGTCATTTTCCTCTAAATATTTCAAACAAGGCACAGTGCCATAACTTAGAAGTTAACTAAGAGCACAATGAAGAAAAAAGAGGAGTGGAGGTGGGGGTGGGGGGGGGGGGGGGGTGGGGGTAAAATTAGAAAGCTAGGAAGGGACACCCTTTTTGTTTTGTTTTGTTGTTGTTGATATAGTCTATCTAGCCTACATCCAAACTAAGCTGGACCTGGATACATAATGCCACACTAGCAACAGCATGACTAGATCTAGACTAAACCCTAGCCTAGACAGCATGACTAGATCTAGACTAAACCCTAGCCTAGGCCATGAGGCCAGGGCCTATGCCTTGCCCTGCCTTAGCCCGAATTGTCTGTCTCTTTCGTTCGTTAGCCTCTGATTTGGGTAGGGTTGGCTAAAGAGAGGAGCCGACTCTACCCATATCAGAGGCTAACGAACAAAAGAGACAGAAAATTCAGGCTAGACTCTATGCTATGAATACTAGCCTAGGCTTTACAGTAACACTATAAGTGTAGCCTGTTATAGCCGCGCCAGCTCAGGAAACGCAGTCGCTTATTGGTGAAGTGTTACAGCCGGCTAGCACCGGCGAATTGAAAATCATAAACCGCTCCTCGAAATCTCATCGGCTTGGACTAGCAATGAGCCATTTGCGCAGTCTACAAAAGGTCTACATCTACTACCGATAATCAAGCTATGAACTGAACTTAAAATTACGAGATGTGCTGTGATGAAATAACCTACGGTAAACTCCTGATTATTTCTAAAAATATTACCGTCGACGACTTAAATTAGAGTTCATTCAATCAGTAATATTCTTTGGTCAGAACAAAGAAAAAAGGATGGGGTAGGGGGTTAACCGGGTAATACGTTGTGACAATGCGGAGAGCCCCTCACTGCAATGACGAACACATCACAATCATTTCAGATATCTTCACACAAAATTTATCTTTACTTACTTTTTTGGTATCCGTATGGTATCACTTTGATGTCGATGTTCGCCTGAAGATTTTCTGCTCAACTGAGACGTATTTGACAAACTTCTATGATAATAGAAATTCACTTACAAGAAAAATGTTCCATTGTTCGTAATTGAAAAACTTCAAAGTCGCAGTTCATACAACCGCCATTTTTCGTCATTTTCTTGTTCAAATCGTAGGGAATTCTGGGAATGCAAAAAATGTTTAATGCATGACCTAATACATAAAACATTTTGTCGATGGCCAATCAACAAACAGTAAATGGCGTATTTTTTACGTCATTGCTCATGAATATTCATTGACCCTCCAAAACCGTCGTTCAAATCGGACAAAACCCCCATAATGCATCCAATGCAAAACCTATGAAATGTCAAAGGTCACGATTTTAGTTGGCCCTCTAGTCCTCCTACGGAGGACATACTGTGTATGATCGAATCTCTTTGCCTAGTATAGTGTGGCCTTAAGTGATTTGAGTTAACGTCCTTTTGGGTTTAGTTAGACTATACAGTCATGTGGATCATTCAAAATATTGGACAAATCACTCAATTTCTGTACTCTTTCTATCTAAAAGAGATATATAGAACATGGCATTGATATTGTTTTGTACATATTTACATATATTTATGTTGCTGCAAATGTTCATTTTATGTTGTGACAGGGTTTATGTTACGTCATCACTTACATTTTTTAGGGGGGGGGGTGCATAGGAACGAAACTTAGATCAGTATCTTGACATATTTCCTCCGGGAATGATGCAGACCCTCACGTACTTCGGTTAAATTGATAATGATTGAAAGAAATGAAAACTATTTCGAACTTGAATTGGTAAAAATTGACTAACCAAATATACATTAATTATTGACAGCAGAGAGAAAAAATTGTAGAAAATGTAATTGTCTTTTTTTCAATAGCAGATCGATTATTAGGAATACATATTCTACTTTATTAGAGTCAATATGTAAATGTACTTTTATAAAATTAAAGTACATATATGAACGTAAACAAATACAATTAATAACTAAATTATTCATAACGTTTTTATATTTGATGATTTTCTTTTGTAACTTGAAAATGAAAGATGGACTGGTTGAATTAGCGCATTTGTTGATATACATTTAGATGTAAGCTTTAAAATGTCTAATCCTCAAGAAACATGCATTTGAACATTCAAATAATTTTGTAAAATACATGTGCTTAATAAATTACCAAACTTGGTAGGGGTATGAATATTTTAGTTGTTAACTGTACATTTATATGTTTTATATACATGCACAAACGTCTACGTGTCTTAAATAAGTAGTAATGAATAGTCTGGTGAGAGCCAGAAGGGTGTTTAATCATATGCTTTGACATACATGTAGATTGTAGAGTTGATATCCTTCAGGCTCCAAGTAGATGAAGCAGGACATTGTGTTGCCTTTGATCATTTCCTTCCGCATGTTGGACTGCTACATGTATTTACTTCTTGAAAGTTATTTGTGATTATGCATATGTATGTAATTAAGAATGTCTTCTTTTTTTTACAATGAAATGTAAATTTGTGGAAGTTTCTCTTATTTTCTATGGATCATTTGTACTGTGAGCATTCACTCTTTTATGATCGTTGAAGGTTGTGTATTGTGCCTTGTTCACACATAACATGCTTTACCACCTAACAAGACAAATCTGCAATGAGCAATGTGTCAATGTGTCCAATATAATATGTGGCTTTTATATCCATTAATTTCATCAAAAAATGATCTCCTGATATGATCACTAACTAATGTATGTTCCGATATTACTAACATTGATTATTGATCATACCATGGGCTTTCTCTGTTTTGGATGAAATATGTGGACAAAAGACAAAAAACATAACGTTACAGTACCTTAATAGCAAACTTTGATTTGAATTTATTTCCAACCGATGCAAAAAAGTACCTTACGTAGATGTAACCTAATAATAATCTCTTTCTTTTATGATGTTTGAATAACTACATTTGCAATAAACTCGAAATGTAAAAACAGCTTGTTAAATAACCAATGTATTTACATATTGGAGGGGGGGGGGGCGTTGCATAAACAATACCACTGATGGTAAATTTGTCATCAATATTAACTACCATGGCAACATGACTCAACAGCCAATCAAATCAAGGTTTCCATGAGAGTTACCATCAGTCGGGCCGGGCCTTCAAAGAACATGCCTGAATGCTCTCTCTCTATCTCTCTCTCTCTCTCTCTCTCTCTCGTTTGACATTGGCGACCATGCTGTTCCACAACCCTCGGCTCCTAGCCTTCTGTATTAGCACCACTCCCAGTTCTTTCACTCCTCTCTCTTCCAACAATTTCTGCAGACTCTCTATCTAAAGTATCCTCCTTCTTCCCCTACTCCTTCTTCCCGCAATTTTCCCCGTCAAAGCAAGATTATCTAGGCCTTCTTTACGTGTAATGTGACCCATGAACTTCAACTGCCTAATCAACATCTCACGTATCAATTTCCTTTGCACTCCAGCTCGTGTAAGAACTTCCTCATTACTAACTGTGTCAGTCCAGGGGAATTTCATCATTATTCTTAAAAACCACATTTCGCAACTTTCCAAACGCTTTTGAGTATCACTATTAGAGGCTAAAGTCCACGTTTCACTACCATACATACGTGTTGGGTAGATGTAACAATTCAATACTCTTAATCTGATCCTCATACTCATTGTTCAATTGCCTGAATGCACTCTAATAATAAGGTACATAATTGCAAAAAGAGTTGGTAATAGCACAATCTTCAGAGGCGACCCGAGGGAGAGTGGACACTAGACCCCCTTCTATCTGAGTTATTATCTTTATTTTGTGTGGATTGATATAAATCATAAAGTTTTGGCTGAATTAACCCCCATATTCGCCTGATAATCTTTTAAATTATTGTTTTAATTATTTTTTTTTCATAGATTTTGAGGGAACTGAACCCCTCCCACCATTTATAAAATCCTGGAGCCGCCCCTAATATTACCGGCCATACCTTTTTGAAAGTAATGATATAATTCTGTACATTCTACATTGCTCCATTGCAGCATACACTGTTGTGTAGTGTGGGACAGCTTGTATGTTCCATATGTTTCATGAAAAGAGATGTATAATTATGAAAACATTCTTTACAATCATTGAAATATTTGAAACATGCTTAAAATAATGTGAATGTTCAATCTTTTCTGTTTTCTTTAATCACAAATATAATTGAGAGGAGAATGGTGGGCAAGAAGGAAGAACGTTAAAGTAAGGGGCACAGTGTAATTAAGAGAGAGGGAGAAAAGAGAGAGAGATAGGATGAGAAAAAGAAAGAAGAAGACAGTGGGGTGATAGGGAGAGAGGCAAAGAGAGTGTGAGGTAACGAGTGAATAATGAAGTAGAGAGAGAGGGGATGGGAAGAATGAATAGGGAGGGAAAGAAGGAAAAGAGGGGGCAAAAAGAAAGAGATAGTGAGGGATAGGGAAGGAGAAGGGTAGAGGATAAGACAAAGAGGGGATGAAGAAGTAAACAGAGGGGGGAGAAAAAGAAGGAAAGAGTGAGAGAAAGGGGTAGCGGGAGACAGCGGGAGTGAGGAAGAGAGAGAGAGAGAGAGAGAGAGAGAGAGGAGGAAAATGACGGTCTGTGAGAGGGTGAGAAATAGAGAGGGAGGGGGTAAAGAGACATGATAACAGATAATCAAAATGAGAATATTTAAAGATATTTTCCTGGTTGTCGTCGCATTGATCCAGCCAATGAGGGGGCTACAGTGACACGGGAGAAAGGGGGGGGGGTTATACCTGTAATGTAAAAAAGAAGCTTTCTCTCTGTCTTCCTTTCCTCTCTCTCTCTCTCTCTCTCTCTCTCTCTCTCTCTCTCTCCTGTTTGTCAATTAATACCCGCTATCCCTGTCAATGCCCCCACCCGCTTTCAAAATGTTGTTACAAACCCATCACTTCAAACTTCTCTTTCATCTTATTTCCATTCGATTACCTCTAATTTGATGAAGTCACAATGACAACCGTTTAGATTTTGAAGACATGCTTTGGGCATAAAACCAATAAAGAAAATAAATCTATATTCAACTGCTAAATCTGATCAATGTCTTGTAGAATATTCCAAAATTAAAGGGTAATACATACGTGTAAACATGCATTGTTAATGTGTTCACAAAAATATATGTATACGAAATTGTCAGTTTACTATATTCTGGGTAAAGATTGACAGTGCGTTTTCATAATCATCTTTTTGTTCTTAATAACAAACTGTCTATGAATATCCATGGTTTCCAATAGTACTAAGTATAGAGTACCAAAGTGGGAACGTCATATTCGCTTGTCGTTTAGGTTACTGGTTCTTAACAACAGTCAGAGCCTGCGCATGAGGTTCACCGTAAATCATTCAAGCTTCCTGCTGGAGCAGAATTCAGTGGTTCTCGTTGGGGGTGATCACCTCACCATCGTTTGGAACCAACAACCCTGACAACTTTCCTATTATGACGTCATACTTTGATACTCTATGCTCCAGCTATTTGCATGACTGTGTAAATATGAATGGTCTCCTGATACATGTTACCCATAATAGAAAACTAAAGTTATTTCATTGTACAGCATTTTTATTTTGTATTATCTTCCACACATCAGAGATAGCAAAAAAATAAAATCAACAAACAAGAGATAAAGTCAGGCAACAATATAAATGATTTTGTACACTCCACAGAATAACTAAAGAATCCCCTCCCCCATTCCCTCATGAATTAAGAATACATGAAACACAGAACAACTATAGCATTTCAATTGGCAAAGAAGATTTTAGTGCTTGCAAGTAGTTGTATGCTGTCCGGGATACCATATGATACAGTGATCTTCATATTGTGAGTGAGTGAGATGAAGAAGAAATACCCCAAAACCTATTTCATTATTATAAAATCTCTTCCATCACCCTACACGACAAAGATTAACATATCTCATATAATAATTAACAACCAACAAAGTCAAATCTTACAAATACTTTGAATAAAGCTGACATGTACATTTCATGAGCATACTTGTAATGTAAATAATTACTTGACACATGTTGATAACATACCCTCGCTAAACAATA